CAGTAATTCCTCGCCTAGTGACTTCAGAAAAAGGTCTTGAGAATTATGATCCATCTGTTAGAGGATGTTATTATACAGACGAGCACCAGTTGTCAATGTTTAAGCATTACAGTCAGATGAACTGTGAGACGGAATGTCTTGCAAACTGTTCACTCACATACTGTGACTGTGTCCCTTATCATTTACCCAGACACAACAGTTCTGTACAGGTTTGCATTGCAGAATGTATTATTGTAACAAAATGTGATTGTGATTGTTTGCCTAGCTGCAATTCTCTATCTTATGATTTTAAAGTAAATACAGAGCGTGGCTTTTATTCTATTACTTTGGGTTTTGAACGAAATAGATTCTACAACTCAAAACTCAGAGTCAGTACTAACAGCCTGACTCAGTTCATGGCGTATTCTATTGGCATTGTTGCAGTTTTTAACGGCTTCAATATCTTGGTTGTCTTTGAATTGTTATACTTGTTGACATTTAAGCTATGGAGTTGTATCAAGGGCTATTCGCACTAATGTATTGGATGCATGTAAATTTTTGGCAGTAAAATAAATGTTCAATTCTGTATTCCTTTTTTTAATTTTAAACGTTAGTGAGATTACCTATCTATGCACGACATCTTCATCTTAACAAACCCAGGGTGTCCGTGTCACATGGATCTTATCTGGTATGTTATAATAAACGGTATCAGCAAACTGACACATACTTTCTTCCATAAGCTTGTAAACAACCTTTATCATGGGTAAGCGGTGGAAGTATGATATTCTATAGGGATTAATCACAAAAGTTGCAATAACTTTTGAACCGTAATTAATTGTTACAGCAATGGAGGGCTGCACTTTTTTTGTTAAGAATTATAAAGCCCATAACACATTAATTTTAAACAAACCCGGCTTTTTTCCTAAAATCCGATATTTTGTTATTTTATGGGAAATAACATAAGTTACAACAACTTTTGAACCGTCCTTTTTACGGAAATGGGAACTGTACCATTCTGTTCAAAATGTTAAGGACCATAACATAATAAATACAAATTTTGAAAAAATGAAAAAACGCCTGGAATTTAGAATTGATTAGTACCTACGTACCAAATTTCATCAAAATCAGACGACAGGTGTGGCTGTAGCTCTGTACACATCCACACACACAGATATCACTTTGAAAAGCACTTTTTTCAGCTGCAGGGGGGCCCAAAACGATATATCCATTTAAAACTCAAACTTGAAAATTTTGACGAAACCAATACTTTCTCCATATACATATACAGTATAGAGGGGGAGAAACTAAAAATGTTTACGTCTGAAAATCCACAGTATCAGCAGTCTGACACACAGGCCTACTTTCTCCCATAAGCTAGTTAACAACCTTTATCATGGTTAGGCGGTGGGAGTAAATATGATATTTTATAATTAAAATCACAAACGTTGCAATAACTTTTAAACCGTAATTGTTGCAGCAATGGAGGGTTGTTCAGTTTTTTAGAATTATAAGGACCATAACAAATTAATTTTGATCAAAACCAGCTTTAAAAAACATCCAATTTTGTATTATTTTATGGGGGTTTTATGGGAAAATAACATAAGTTACAATAAATTTTGAACCGTAAGACACACACACACAGACATCACTTCGAAAACCACTTTTTTTTTGTTCAGGGGGACGCAAAACGGATATATCCACGCAAAACTCAAACTCAAAAATGTTGACAAAAACAATGCTTTCTCCATATACTGTACTATGTATAGGAGGAGAAAGTAAAAATGACTTTCCATCACTGAACCTAAAAATCTGGAATCACATATATTACTTGAATGAAGACATCATTAGAGTTGAAACTAGTTGTTGATGAATGATACAAATGAATTTAAGAACGTAGCCCACTACTATTTATAAAATATCACATGACGTGTTGATTAGCTGTTTCTTGTCGTTGTTTATTCTAATTATTGTACCAAACAATGCATTTGCTTGGCTATTTAGTTTTTTTTCTTTTTTTAGCGAATTTCCCATATAGGGAATAAGCTATTACCATGGTAAGACCTAGACCCGGGACCGATTTACTTTTTCGTTTTGAGGTCCCCAGAGGCCAAAAACACCATCCGTTCAAATTCATATATATATTTGTGTGTGTGTATGTGTCCGTTAGCGCGATAACTCGAGCAAAAATGATCCGATTTTGATGAAATTTGGTACAAACGTGTAAACCTACGTTTATTCAAACGAGTTCGTGAACCAGCATAATCGGACCATGGGAACAGGGGTTTATGGGGGCTTTTATGGAGTAAAAATGGGTTTTTCCCATTTTTTACCCAAAAAACAAAAATTCTGCAATTTCTTCCTAAACCATTTTGTAGAGCTTAAAAAAAGAAATAATTTAGTATATTGAAGCGCTGTTGTATGCCTAACGGTCACGGAGAAAATTAAAAAAAAGGGTAATTTAAAATTTCCATGTTATTCTTATGAAGAAAATGAAAACTATTGTAATTTACTTGTTTATGGATATAATGTTGATAAAATTTGGCAAATTTATTTATTTCATCCTATACTATTGAAATATGGTCAAAAAACACTTTTTACCTTCCCCGTAGCAGCAAACCTAAGCACTCGTTAAATCTCATGTTATTTAAATTGGAAATATATGTCTTATTTATGGGAATATTTTAGTAAAAATGTAATCAGACAAGTTGAAATTCGCTTAGTCTGCAGGTTTGCTGCGGCGGGGGTATTTAAATTTGTTGCTGTTGCATTTTACTGCTTGATAGATTTCAAAATGTTCTAACGCTAAAATGATTTTATTTCTATTTTGGCATCTATGGAGAATTTTTAGATTATGTGTTTATAGTGGAAGATTTGTGATTGCTGTTAATTAGATTACCTGCGATGTTTGAGTTATTTTGGTTTTTGGCAGGTGTTTTGAAAGAACACATAGTTTGTCCATTGTAATAAAAGGAAGTTATCCAAAAAGTACTCCAATAAAAAAAAACATTCTACTTAACCTATTCAGTGCTATGCAACAATATATCGTTGTGAGTCTTTTTCCCGATAAGTGATATGGAACGATATGTCTTTGTTCGTGTTTCATCCAAAAAGTGCTAAGCGACGATATAATGTGAGTTTAAATGAGCATATCGGTTAACTCGGTTGTAGTTTAGAAACAGCGAGGGTTTCTTTCGATTCCTTATATGATCGAGGCCCGATATATCGTTCCATAGCACTTTTCAGATGAAAAATTTTATTTTTACCGATTTTTTTCTCGCACACCAGACTTCGCACCCGTGGCAAGCCTAGCACTTTTCGGACGAAATAAGTAAATAACTCTAGCATTTTTCGGAAAATAACAAAAAATATTCTAGCATCGAAAGGGTTAAAGCAAATAAAACAACTATCATTAAGTATGAATATATAAACTCAAAAATTACTTTTCTGATCATTTTTTTACAAAAACCACATTTTTTGCCAAATTTTAGATAGTGCAAGAGGTAGTGATAGATTGTAAAAATCGGTTTAGTTGGACGGGTAAAAAAAACACTTATTGTATTGTATCTATATATAAATGCGAAATTCCAATCAACGCACAGGCCAAACCATAGCACCTAGAAGCATGAGATTTTGCATACATATTCCTCTCATAGCGTAGGCAGACAATAAAGAAGTGATTTTACTAAATTCCCAATGGAAGGTCACTGGCCCCACAGAGGGTCAAAGTTAGCATGGAGCATGGAGTTTGTATAGGAAAAATAATTTGTTTTGGGTTTTTGTTTACATCTTTACAATTTATTTAATCATCAGTTGTTAGAATAAAAAAAAATTACTAAGGTTATTTCGGACCAAATAAACATCATAGTTGGGTGCCAGTGAAATTAACCTAATTAATTGTGTGTGGCATTTTATTTTTATCAATTTCTAATAAATGTGTGATTAGTGTTGAAGAAAGTAGAATTGAACTTAGTTTTTATTGCATTTGAATTTTTGAACTTATGATATTGTTCTGTTAATATTTTTTGTAGTTGTTTAAACCGTCTCATAGTACGGACACTGAGGTTTTAAATGTAAATGGCGGGTTCGTTCCACACAATATCATTCACATCACAGGAGATGGTGTGTGTTTATTTACTTCACTCTCATTCTTAATTTACCTTACACACATAGATTCACTAATGTGCGCGTTGAACATGTTGTGAGAAACTGAGTCTACTTCTCAGTCTTATCTCACGACAGTGACGGGGATAATTAACTTAATTCAAGAGAATACTTCAATGAAGTGTATAAGCCGTTTACCTTTGGTGGGTTGAGCTGGATGACAACTATTCACATATTTTGAATTCGAGGTTTATCAAAATGGTGAATCGGATGTCAAGTTTGGTGATGAACGTAATCCCTTGAAAAGACTCCGATTTACACAATCCCTGTCTAGCGGGCACTTTGACGTTTATCTTCACAAAAATGTAATTGATGTGGGATGATCAATAGTGATCACCGGATGTGCCCAAGGGGAATCGGTTTTTATACCACGACTTCCCCTGGTTCCTATGGAATACCCGTTTAAAGGTTGCAATTCCCTTTGTGTGCTTCACCCTCACCATCAACAAAGTGCAGGGACAGTCACTTAAGATCGCAGGACTAGACTTGAGAGAAGATTGTTTTTCTCATGGAGAATTTTATGTTGCATTTTCACAGGTCAGCTCAGCCACGAGTCTGGTGATGCTAGCACCTTCTGAGAAAACAAAAAATGTTGTATACAAAGAAATTCTGTAAATAATCAAAAATAGTACGATTAATGAACAAACTGTTAACAGCAGTTTTAACTATTATCGTAAAATGAAATAAAAAAATTTAAATAATTTATTGTTTATTTAATGTGTTTTATTTTATCATAATCTGGTATTTAAACGCTTAAACACTAATGTATTAAAATTTTCAACCAATTTGAAAGCATCCGTAGCCAACACGGGTTTTCCCCTAGTTAAGTATAAAAATAAAAATGGTAATAATAGTGCAAGTTTATAAAACAAAGAGATTTAATTATTTTACTCCTATAAAGCTGTGTGCACCATATTGGAATTATTATTATAACTAACTCATATCACATATCAAATTGAATCTTCAAAGATAATCCAAGCCTCTTGATCTTCATTATCTTCCTTTTGGCTTGTGATGGCAGAGTCAAATAATTGGGTGAGAATTTCATTTTCACTTTCACTCCAAGCAACTTCATCTGGAAATACCAAGTCCGATTCAAGTGCCACCTAAACAAGGAAAATAGATTGTTTCAGACTTTGCTTGTCCTATATAGTTTTTTTTCTATCTTTAAATTCAAGGATAGGAGTGAAAATATACTATTGATATTTGAATACCACTTTTTTTACACTTTTAACAAGAATTTGCAACTGTTATAATCCAACATATTTTTATGTTTAATAAAATTGCTTCCTCATCATAAATCTTTCAAATCAATTTAATATAATTACAATGTATGTAAACATTGTGCCTCTCAGATTAAAAATATTGTTAGAACATTAAATAGGGCCTACAATTTTAAAGAAATCTACATTAGATTAATGAACAACATTCTTCAAGAAAAAAACTTAACTTTTATATTTCTTAAATATTAGGCTAGCATTTACAATACAAACTGTAAATAGTTTGGTGAAACGAAAATTTTGAACACAAGACAGAACAATATAGTTCAGAATTCATAAATAGCGGGATTTCTACCTTTACAGGCAATAAAAGTAAAGGTGGTAAATGAAGAGGGAAACAAAATCATTAATGTTGATGCCATGTAAAGTTGTGTTTCTAAATAAAGATGTTTGGTCTGTTATCTTCAGTACAAAAATATAATTATGTGGATGTTATTCCCTATGATTTTAAAGTCACCCTTACTTTTAGGATTCACATTATACCTAAATCTTTCTTGAATCTGGGAAAATCTGAAATATATTTATTTTACATCCAACACTTAAGTTTATTAGGACATGAAACACATAAAAGCCAATCTCCGCAAGTATAAATATTGACCAGATCTATAGCACAACAATTCAACAATAATATTACAGTTTTTATTGAAGTACCCATGGTTAATAGCATATGAGTCCTAAAGAGTTCTATTCTTTTTAGAAAACATTTGACTAAATTATGTGGCATCAATTTGTACTAATCTGTTATTAAATTATTGATAGAAAGATAAATTGCAGGTCCACAAGTGTTTAGAAGTGTGAACTATCAAATGACTACCTACTTCTACTTGTCAAAACTATATGAACCTTATTTTGTATCAAAAACTTTTAACTTAAGAACAATAATGATACAATGTGCTGAAAAGCGAAGCAAACAAAACAACAGCAAACAAAAAGCACCTAACTATAAAAACCACACATTTTTCATCTTAATTTGCATTATCTTGATGTAAAGATTTGATAGATCATCCCTTTATGGCTGTGGGATTTTGGCATGCTAGTTATATTAGATTAGGTCTAGAAAACAATAACTTGAACTTACTTACATCATTATTATCAACAAAGCGTAAGAGAAGGCAAAAGAGTAATGACATATATAAGAATATTTAGTATTTATTTTAAGAGTACATGGATGTCTTAAATAACTTATTCTGTATAAAAATCTAAACAAAAATTGTAATAGTCAAGGGTAAAAATCAAACAAAGAATTGAAACATTAAATGGGAATTTTCTAAAGGACAATAAATTATTGGCACATCCCAAAACACTTGCCTGCGACAAAAATTACTGCTACATCTAAAAACATGTGTCAGAAACTTCAGCATTGAAATGCAGAAAGTACAATAAATTACTAACTCAAATTACAATGTGCAAGCGAAGAAGATTCCACAAGTTTTTTAAACTATTTTAGCAGCTTTAAAGCAATAATCAGTGCTTACAAGTTGTGATGAAAAGCAGTGAAAAAAGCAAAACCAATGAGCATATAGTAGATATCTGATGTAATGTCTCCATCTAAAGTGATAATCGGAACTATTCTTAAACATTCATAGAATATAAAGTCATTTGATAATAATTCACTGACATAAGTTATTCATTAAATCCATAGGGCCATTAAGTTCAATGGTTATATTTACAGTCTTATTGTCTTGTCAATTCTAATTTCAAATTACTCTCTCATACTCTACAGTGAACATTATATTTACTTTAACTACAGTCCCCAGTGTTCAACCAATGATTTCAAATCCTATTCAGGCTTAAAATTTGCATAAATCTCCTATTCACGTTCAAAAAACTAAATGTCTTTCCTTCCCTCACTATTTACTATACACTCAATGGTATAGCAGCCTAATCTTCAAAACTGAAATTGTTGTTGTCAAAATCAACACTTTCAGAGTCAGGCATGTATTCATCCTCAAAGCGATTGTTTAGAGGATCTACTTGGCAACTTGTTCCTCGGGTGAGTGAGACGACATCGCCGACCAACACTCGGTAGTTCTCCTCGTTCTGTGGAACTCTCTGTGTAACGTAGTTCTGCAGTCGACTGGTCGCTACGTACAACTTGTCTCCGTACACTTTGATCCCAGAGTTGAACTGAAGCGTTCGATCATCCTGGAAATTAGTGTTATATACCAAACAGTTAAAGAGAGTGATTGTAAATTATATTTGTTATACTATATCCCTACATATTACAGTTGTAATATTTCAATTTGGTATAGTATAGAACTCAGAATTGTGAAGTAGCACACATTCTTTCAGCTAGGACTACTAGTCGGCTTTTAGCAATGCAGTTCAGACAGTCCTTCTGCAAAAGGGACATACGGACATAAACCGACCCTACCCTCAGTGTTCCTGGAATTATCATTCGGACCTAGGGCGAGGGTGGTGTTTGGGGTCAGTAAAGAGTATCGAGTCACTCAAGATACAGTTGTATTCACATAGCATCACACAGGACTTGAGAGGCAGACAATATTCCATAACATTAGTGCACCACAGAAACGTATCACTACACCCAGTAAAGGTATTGTGCTTGCATGGTTGTAGTGAAGGCTTTATGATTCTCTCAATCATAAATGTATTGTCATGTGAGGCTCAAGGAGTGGAAGACTCCAGTAAAATCTTCACACAAGTTCAGAACAATGATTTCTTTTTAATTTACCTAAATAAGCACAGTAGAGTGCTGATTATCCGAATACCGGTCATTCAAAACGTAGGTTAATTGAAATTCAAATTTACCGTGATGCCAACATTACGATAGCGGCCAAAAAGATTGCACGGGTTGCAAAACTTTGCATACCTAGGTATTTACTAACCGCGATGTAAAATATCTGGAATAGTATTTTTAATAACTACGGTATCTATTACTTATTTAATACGCAAGCAGGATTTTTTTGTGACAATTACTCCTCCGAAACTACTGAACCGATTGACATGTTCTTGGTGTCATTGGAAAGATCGTAACGTGAAGTTGTGCAGGAAACTTTCTTTTTAGGTAAATAATTAGAGAGTGAGGTGCTGGGGCCCTTTAAAGTTTCGTATCTCTCCATAAGATTAACATGGGAAACAAACATTGTTTTGGTAGCTGTTTGCGCCACCAGTTAACAACTCTTATCTTTTTTCAAGTCTGAACTGGCATATTAGTTAAGTCCGGGTTGTTTTTAGATAGGCCTAAACACCATAGGGGCTCATCCATAGAAGATCTCAGGCCCTTATTATTCAGCATTGAACGTGTTAAGGCGTATTCATAAGTACCTTCCCTTTTTGTTGGGAAACATCATGAATGAAGAACATTATATCTCATGAATAAATATGAAAACACTACCTTGGCCAGGATGGGAATATTCCTTCTCGAAAACTGCATTCTAGAGTTCCAACAAGCTATTTCGTTGCTTCCCAGCAATCCAAAGAACATGATTCCCTCGTTGTTCATAGTAGCAGCTGCCGACTGGCTAGACCTGTATCAGAGTAAACAAACAACTACCGTAATGTAAAAAGATTATGGAACAAACTAAAAATAGTTTGAAGCTAAGTATAAAATTATCCGCTTAAATTTTGTAATATGAAAAATAGTGGTTTCCGCAGATGGTTGAGGAAATTTCACATTCTAGAGATACTATTATCATATTTTTAACATATTATCACGATCAGTTAATCCATAGCCTACATAAAATATACTCCCTCGTAGATTTATCATCATTATGGTTGAAGACTATTTTATAGTTTTTTTATGTTAAATAACACTTGACTAGCATGAATGGCTTCTGTTATTTCTTGTTATTTTACCAGCTTGGCCTCTGATAAAACAAAATACAGAAGCAAAAGCTACATTGTAGAGTTTATGCCCTTAAATAAGGGAAAACATACAGTTGTCATTATCTTCAAGCAAATGTGGTGCTCCAAGATCTGTTATCCTCCTAAATATATTTGAATACCCAGTTTGTTGGATAAGAAATTATAACTCACATTCACGATATGAGTATATTAATAGTTTTAGATTGAATTGGATAGTTACACTAAGAAAAATTTCATTTACTTTATTTTATGTTAAGAAAGATGGATTAATAAGCTAGGATAGCGAGTCACTTATGGTTGACAATAAAACACATTCAAGCTATACCATTACCATAAGACAAAAAACTATTTAATTATGATATAAATGTTACTATCATTTACTAAAGTCAATGCTTAACCATACCTAGTTCCACTGAAGAGGTTGAAAGCTCTAGGTTTTGCATTCATATTACTCTTCCACAGACTGTTGTTCCGGATTTCCTTAGTGTCCACCCATGACTGCTTAACACTGTCAATACAATGGAAGTAGAGTCTACGATTGCCTCGGTACAAGGGGCCTGCAAACCAACAATACTTTTTTATTTTATGCCCCACCTTCACATCCTAGGACGCTAGGTTCTAGCCTGGAACTGTTTTATACATTACTTCAGGCCTAGATGGTCACGGCATTATCACATGGATAAAATCATAGAATAAAGGTGATTTGTGGGATTTGAACCCAGGACCTTGGGCTCTGAAGCCTCTACACCAGCTCGCTTTCCTGAACCAACCATAGTACATCTAAGACAATTACAATAGGTATAGTTTCTAGTCTTCAACATAGATTATTTAAACTAAAACTCAAGCATATAATATATAATATTAGTAAGATTGTTTACAAATTTGCATCAACAATAAGTTTATTACAAGCCAGAAAAAATCTGAAAATTTAGTCAATGATTCTCTCTTGAAGGCTTATCCTAGTAATCTGTCTACAAACAAAGCTGGACATCAATTGCTTGGCCTTAGCTTTGTGATGGGGAGATATAATTTAATTCTCAGCTTCGCCTTGGTTGTTTAACTTAAGCTCGGGCCAAAAAAGTCACTTTACGCCCTAGTGATGAATTGCCTAGTTATTGTATTGTCTTACTAAACGATAAAATGTGTCTGTTTATGATATTTTTTAACGATTAAACCCACTTAACGACAACCGAGCAAGACTCAGTCCCCCGGTAGTTTTATGTTTAATTTATTAACTGTTCCCTTACAATAACGAGAAAAATTACCATTGACATAGAAACGTGAATAAAAAAATAAATAAATATCAAACACTTACCAATAGCCAGTCCAAAGATTCCTCCCATAAGGTCAAACGAGACTCCGTCCACATTGAACCTCGACTGGTCCGGGTATGGGAAGAACAATACGCTGTTGATCCTCCAGAACTCCTGCTTGTTGAGGTCAAACACAATCATCTTGTAGGCAATGGAGTCAGCGATGTACGCAAAACTGTCTGAACAATCTTGCCTCCTCACGTCCACAGCGATGGTGACAAATAGACTGTTGTCTGCTACCATGTTCTGTGGGATGTGGTATTTGCCTGCGCAAATAATCATGTGTGTTGAAAAGAGATCTGCTGAAAAGAGATTACTATGGGCAATCCTTTTTTTTAAGAGGTTGGCGGTCTCTTTTGACCTTGCATTTGCCCGTCTACATAGACTAACTGCCCGTGCAAGGAACTTATACAGCAAAGCAAGAGGTGAGCTGGTACAGTACGAAGGTGAACTGTACTGATAAAATGTTTGCGGCAGTGAACAGGATCCGAATTCACGACATCGCTGCCTTGGGCCCGAAGTCTGTGACACTACTGACTGAGCCACAGACTCACCAACCCTGGACCCTTAGGAAGTACCAAACATCCCATTATGTGATTAAAATCACTAAAGTTGTCAACTTCCATCTCATCCGAACATTGTTTGACTATGGTTGACCCTCCCACAATTTTTGAGCCATAAAATCAAATCAAATCAAAAAATCCTTTATTCAAACAGTACATTTCTATACATGAATTGTGTCAAGTCAAGAATAAACATAACTATACATTTGGCAAATTTATTACACTAATTAATTAAGAGCTATAATCTATATGTATACACTTTCTCTCCTACAACTACTTACTGTTCAACCATTACAACTAACTATTGATTTGACATACTAATATCTAATTGAAAAAGTCCCCAATCTTGTAGCAGCATAAACAACGAAAACAGTTCATACAGTCATACAGTTAAATATGGGTAGCACAAGTACGGAAAGAAAACCTGCGTGTGAAGAACAACCTCAAAGATAGACGCCATAAGTGCACTAATGTTTATGCCACCAAGTCACCTTCACCCTGGACAAGTGTCGTACTAGATTAGTTATTATTATTTTTTTTAAGCCGTTTAATGGTCCTTATCACTCATTGATATGTTCTTTTTTAATTACTACATCACTGACTTGACCATTAAAAATAAATTGATATAGATGAAACACTCACCAATAAGTCTGTTATTGTTGTTGAGGTCATAAATCAACACTTGAGGAGGACAGACTATCTTACTGGCCCCAGCAAACACGTTGTTGTTGCCACTGTCGAGTACCCATAGTCTGCCACAGTCGTCAACCTGAAAAAACCACAAATATATTATGAAGTTGATAAATGTATAAATTTAACTACAGCAACGTGAATACATTGATTTTTTTTATTTTGTATAAAAACATGTTATCTCTAAATGATGAATAGTGAGAATATATATTTTTTTTTCATTTGGAAATGATTTCTTATGCTTATTTTCCTCATAAACTTGTAAAATAACTAGGATTGCTTTCGTAGCAGTGAAAGCCAGTTCGTTCCATGGTTTTTATGTTTTTAACAAAGCAATAAATAATTAAAATACTTATAGATATAATGGCCAGCCCAAACTGCCGCAATACGCGGTCTGCGGTATGGGTACCTATTTATACCGTCTCGACAGATGCACCGCTAGCTGTATGGTAGGGAGCCCACACTGGCGCGGTACGCTGTACGCGGTACTTCTATCAATGGACCAGTAGGCACGCTGCTAACTCAATTGACAACTGCTCTACACTGAGAATATGTATACCGCTGAAATACCGTGCAATACTGGAATACTGTACCTAAACGAATACGTTTTATTTATGACTGTGCCTATTCGATCAGGGGTCGTTTTCAAATTGCGACTTAAATGTAAATTAAAGACTTTCTCTGTATTATTTGATCAGTGGTCATCGTCCAAATTTTTTCCTTTGTACTGTGTTTAGGTCGTGGCTCGATTTTAACATATAGACTATGCTATTCTTTGTTTTGTTTACATTTACGTCGTTATTTTGTAACCATCATGGCAACCCATAAGGCCAATGTTAAAATTTAAAAACTTTGAGTTACTTTTAAATTAATAGGCATAAAAAATTGTAATTTGTTTCGTCCAAACCATTTAAACATTTGACAAAACAACCTTGGTAAATTTGGCTAAAATATGTTCAGCCGTTATTGAGATTATGTGTTAGAAAGTTTGCATTGAAGTTGATCCCAAAGGGCTTTGCTTCGCTCCACTCAATAATAAAGAATATGTGTAATCAAATAGGAAAGTATCCGGTGAAACGTATAGTACTATGTATAACACTGACAGTAAGCGAAATTTAAACTTTGTTGATGTTTCCTCAAATCTTATTTTGTAATAAAACTTTCCTTCCATAGGGCATATCCCTTACATATCCAAATCATATCATATTAGCGTAGTCATATCGTATTATTTACGTATACAAATTGCACATTTGGAGTGGTACACTTGTATAGTTGTAAGTGAAGGTTTACGGTTAAGTTATTCCTGGTGCCTGTCTTTCCCAACAGAAAATCAAGACTTACGGTACTTGTGACAACTTTTGCTACTCAGTGAAGAAGTTCCATGTAAAAAACTCTCTTAATAAGTACCAGTAACTATTTTCTTAGCCTGATCAATAAGGTGTTTAACAGCTCAATAAATTATTGAAATCTTAGAGGCCTTTGGGTATTAAAAGAAACAAGTAGACGGTAAACTGATCATATCTTACATGCGTTCTGAATACAGAGGTGATAGAGCTACCACAGTCCCCGGTGTGGCTCTGCCAGTCAGGGAATGGAGCCAGCAGGTTGGCACCACTGCGCTTCTGATTGGTCACTGTCGCCAACGTTACAGGCACTCCGGGCCGAGCTCTGGGCAGTGTCACAAACACTGTCCGCCCTGATCTACTTTCTGAAAACAACAATAAACTTATGATAAGTTCCTCCTACTTTACTAGGCTGCTATGCCAATCTCCAGTGGCTGTTTTATGTGCAAAACGATTCATTAAATTAATTTATAAGAAAGGGTAAGTTTTCAAATAGTTGCGCAAATGATGATCACACGTAGGTCATATATATACACCTAAAACTAATTTTCACTTTGTGAAGCATTATTGTTTATGTACTTTTTAGGTGTATATACTTTGAAAATGCCACAATTGTTGCAAAATGTGAAACAGTGACTACCGTACTAAACCACATCGGGTTAGGCATATAAAAGGCACTTGACAAAAAAATTGACTAAATTAAAATTAAGTTCTTAAGTTAAACTGGGTAACACTATTTTTGCTTGAGTTATCGTGCTAAACGGACACATAGGTGACATATAGGTTAACTGTAAGAAAGGACAACGAGGTCCTAAGTTCGTATCATTAAAGAAGGATTTTCATTTCATTTCATTTTATATAGGTACAGGGTGTTTCAGAATTTGTGTCGGATATTTTAGGGTATTGTTCCTGGGTAAGAAACAAATCCCAATACCTATCATATTTAATTTGACCGGAAGTCCTTAGTTACTCACACAGCCGCCATTTTTTTTTCCGCTTATTAATTTTTTTCTAAAAAATGGTAAGAGATACAAAATTGAAAATTTGTAAAAACATTTATGAAAATTTATAACATTTATCATATGGCAGCTTTAGTAATTACGTGACCGCTGGAGGTTAGATGTAGTGCATGCCGAGGCATGCGGCCTAAGTCTGCCACAACAATCTGTCTGCGTCCGCTTTGCAAGTTATTTTTAAACGATTTTAGATTATTTCAAACAATAATAAAATATAACATAACCCTAAAAGTGTCTTTTTTTATCAATTATCAATCATTAGGATGGCTTAAAAATTGCACACCTATTTACAGTTTTTAAAATTTTTTATTTTTTAAACATCCTAATTTTTAAATCAGCTGTGGTTAAATTGAACATATTTGTTTACAAACTAATCAGCTGATTTTATTTTGTCTGAAGATGTTATTGTTTATTTAATGTACCGGTAGTCAGTTCCTCTAACTTTTCACACTTACTTTTAAAGTGTTCTCTCACTGTATAAGGTTACCCGAATAAACAATGACATCTTCAGACAAAATAAAATCAGCTGATTAGTTTGTAAACAAGTGCGTTGACTTTCACGAAAGCTGATTTAAAAATATTGGGTGTTTAGTGTGAATTTTAAAAACAGTAAAAAGCTGTGCAATTTTTAAGCCATCCTAATAATTGAAAATTGATAAAAAAAGACACTTTTGGGGTTATGTAATTTTTTATTATTGTTTGAAATAATCTAAAATCGTTTAAAAATAATTTACAAAGCGGACGGAGACTGTTGCATTGTTGTAGCAGACCTAGGCCGCATGCCTCGGCATGCACTACATCTCTCTAGCGGTCACGTATTACTAAAGCTGCCATATCTCAGTTAATATTCATCCAATCTTAAAGATTAAGGTTTCAATCGATTTTTAATTAAATTATCTTAAAAAAGTTATTCTTGTAAACTGTTTGTAAACTAAACGCTTTTTGAGTAATTTAAGAAACAAAATTTTAAATGGCCGCTATTTTGTTTTATGAATTTTAAAAATGTTCATAATTTTTTTGTAGCTTTGTCTAGTTGTCATAAATGTTTTTGCAAAGTTTCAATTTTGTATCTCTTACCATTTTTTAAAAAACAATTAATAAGCGAAAAAAAACAAAATGGCAGCTGTGTGAGTAACTAAGGACTTCCGGTCAAATTAAATATGATATTTGGATTTGTTTCTTACCCAGGAACAATACCCTAAAATACCTACACGAATTCTGAAACACCCTGTATATGTGCGAAGGTAATCAATTATTTTATGGCTATATTTCTTTCAAGGTACAAATAAAGAATAGCTATGCCATAATACCATTGAGATATTATTAAAGTAAACGGAGCTTGTATTGGATGTACTATATATTAACAAATAAATTCTTCCTCACCGTATTTTAATCACACCTCAATAAAATATTATTAACTCGTGCCTAATAGTTACCACCAGCCTTTCCTCGGCACATATTGGTTTCCTCCAATTAGTTTTCTGCTTCATCAAGTCTGCTTTAAGTTTTGATGGAATGTTATCAAAGGCCGAGGTAGACATACGCATGTATTGCACAAATTAATATTCATGCTTCTTAAAAACTGGAAACAAACAATGATATTCACCATGCACCTCCCTTATTCACTTCATGCACCCACTTCGACTGGTTGAGTACGCATAAGCACTAAGCATGCAAAATTAAATGTTTTTAAGGTGTTTTTGCTGTACAGCAAATTGCTTGGGAACTACTATTTTGGAAATGAGCGAGCTCCAGTTTGTGTCACTGTATGTGTGTGATAACAGTCGCTCCGCTACAGCTGACCCTGGAGAGCCCCACCTGCTCCGCTCTTTTGTCGCTGTATGTGCGTGTTTTTACCCATACTTGTTCAGATTAAGCTATCAATATGAATTGTCCAAAAAGTAACTCAAAACTAATATTTGTAGCTAGTTTTGTCTGATACATGTCATGTGCTTACCGTATACATCAACATCGAGGATCATTGTGTTGTTGGGGATGTAACGTCTGGAACGGATGGCCTCTTCTCTTGCTGCTTCGCTCGGCCAAGTGAAGTCTGGGAATATCCAACTATACAAGACTTGCATACCTCCTTGCCTCCCAGGGGACCCTGTACAACAGAGGAATTCAATCTGTAACCAATAGTTGTTATGACTTATTTGTCAACGGCAATGACAATTTAATTACATAGCACTTGTGTTTATCTTGGCCATTCAAACTTTTTCCGTTTCATGTAAGGAATTGGTCTTAACGTAACTACACCATCGACACTAATTATGTATAGGTACTTAAAATTGTATATGATTGAATCAAGATGTTTTGAATTGAATCGCATATCTACCTTTTGTCAGAGAGTGTGAATTGATAGCCCAATGACAAATGGCATTTGGGTAAAAGATCTACCTACCTTGGAATTTAACCACTAAAACACCACGAAGCTACCCAGACATTGTTATTACCACACACAATTCCTAAAGGCTCTTAATGAATCAAACCTACTGCACCTTTTATAAGGTCCAAAGAGCACATGTTGGTGAAAATCATTTGTTTACTTGTGAAATCAATTAGGCTAGCTTTGTGAATTACTCTATTTACATTCAAACGATAAAAATAAAAACTTTGATAGAACTGTAAGTTGTACTATAAGGAGCTTCTTAAATAAAACAAGATGTGCTGCAAATGTTTTAACACTCTACTAGAGGACCCATGCTGCTCCGCAGCATCGAAATAAATTTCATATCTGATAAATAATCAAATTTATGATGTTTGATTGAGTAATTCAGTATCTTGACCTTAAGTGATTAAAACAATCAATAGGGTGGCACAAATTAATGCCTATCTACTGATTATTTTGAGTCTAAAACAGATAAAAAAACATAAACAATTCTGGAGCTATTGATTTTTAATTATAGAAAACCTTTTAAAAATTCACCTTTATGTTGGTTGTTCACCTTGTGTTTACTTAAAACTCGTCTGATTTGAATAACTAATACCTTAAATGACAGCCAGTATTTCACTGAAGGTTCTTAGACCAAAATATATTGGTTTATATATAATTATAACTGGTGAAATACATTTTTAGTCGAAGTAAGAATTTGAAAATAAATCAAATTTATGTTTTTTGATCGAGTAATACAGTAGATAAATGCTGATGCTTGATATGAAATATGTGTGCATACCTTCAATTTGATACCTCAATCAGGAAAATCGGTCAGGTAGAAGAGCTAAACGAACTCGAAAAAGAAAAACCAATTTTTTTTAAATGTAAGATAGGCTAAGTTTAAATGTTGCTTTCTTGATATTTCACAAAGGACTATTTGTCGTTATGTACAAAAATGAAACCCTAATTTTATTAGTATGTTGTTTGGTCATTTAGTGTGTAGAGCTTCCCTTGCACTTTGGCCATTTGAGGTATGAAATACTGAATGTTGGTCCTATAATCTTACTCTTAAAAGTTACTCAAGGGGTTTCACTCAACATTTTTGTTTTTGGCACTGTGTGTGTAGCCAAAACTATGATGTCATAAATATTGGAAGGATTCAAGAACACTCCAAGCTTGTGCTTCGGAGTGAGCTACAATTTAAATTTGACAAATGAGTTAGATATTTAAACTATTTTACAGACATCATAATTATACCTTTCTTCTCCCGTACTTTTGTTTAGAATTTCATTTTTATAGTAGGTCTACCTATATAATATTTTGAAAAGAGAAGCATTGCATTAGCATTACTGCACCTAACCCCCTGAAAATAAATTAGACAATTCATCATACATAGTACAATTCAAAGCTGTATGAATTTACCGGGTCGTGGTCTGTAGGATGGACTTTCTCCGCTTTCCTCAAACACAATGGGTTGCTTGCCAGTGTTGAATACCCCCGAAGACGGGGGTGGCGGGCGGTGGTGATGACCATAGTGATGATGAGGGGGAGGAGGCGGAGGGCCGTAGTGGGGGTGAGGTTCAAATCCAACACACAACTGGCACGCCACCAGCAACAGGAGATAGTGGACTACCTGCAACAATAGCCAAACGAAACATAACCACTATATCCTAACTAGTGCAAGCTGACAGACTATACTTTCTCACCGAATCAATATAACAAAGTTCTTCTTCTTTGTTCTTTGTTTTTTCCATAAAATGTTATACCTGTATTGAAACTTCCCTCTTAAATATCAAAATATTTAATTAACTGTTACCCAGTGATGTTCTCTAGGATTCTTGTTAAAACATGCAACCAAATTTCAGCCCAATCCGTCCAGTAGTTTATGCGTTATTGAGCAACACACACACACACACACACATACACACACAAACGCACAAACTCACAAACTTTCAGATTTATTATATTAGTAAGATTGTACTATGTACTTGGATGAATAATTAAATAATATTGTCCATTGTCTATTGTCATCTTGCGAAAGGGGATCTTTAATGTTCCCATAAATTCTCATAGTATAAGCATAGACTAACCAACACAAGTAGACTTCTCATCCCATTGTAATTTTTGAAGCACGTTTTTCGTGTCTAGTTCATGTAAGTGACACAAAGGCGCTAGTGTCGATGAAACTTTGTTTCTATTATTTTAGGGTTAATTTCTTGATTTGTGCTTTACTGTTTGGTTATATAACTAGGGGACAAGTTATTGTTTATGATTAGATCGTATTATTTGGTTAAACGAGGTTTTAAATGGCTGTAATAACGGGAAACAAATTGTAAACAAAACACGACCTCTACATAAACCGTACATGAACTAACAATAAAATTGTCTTCAGCTGTTCCATAAGGATGAGAAATCTACTAAGGGAGTATGTTTTATCTATGGTATAAGAAACTATAGTTCAGCTGTTAGATAGCGACCTGCACGCTAATGCTAACCAATGCTAGAGGAGGTTGCTATCTCAGCGGCCTAGCTTTTAAAGATAAAATAGCATTTCAGTTGTATCAGATGTGGCTTGTTCAACTTTGTACTCTTCAAGTAAATAACTGGTTACAGCTGTTTATGTAAAATAATCAAACATACTCAGACATACTACATTCCCCGTGTTCAGTCTGAGTTCAAGGTTTGCCAGCAATCATTATAATTTAATTATCTACTTCAGAGATAATTAAGATGTCCAGATTGTTTATGTTAACTGCCTGAAGAACCAGTTTTTCAGAACCACCCAAGATCAACCTTCAGCTCTTCTTTCAATTACACTGTTGTGAGGAGGTAGAAACACACTTGTTTGATTTTCACATTAGGCCTACACATGTATACTGTTTATAATACCAAACTAACAGGACAGTATGATTATATTTTTTACATAAGCCAGTATAGGTGTAAGTGGGTAAAGTGTTTGCAAATAAGGTTTCCAGTTCCAAACCAGAAAAAGGATTGATTAAACTCAACTGGGTTGTTATGATTAATTTAAGGGATTATGTAATCAGTTTTCCCCAGATGTTTCAAAAATGTATGTCCACTATAGGCCTATTCAAATGAGGTTAAAGTAAAAACAGTTTAGTTCATTTGTATACTCGAAATAGTTAGATTCTGTTCTCAGGAGTTAATACATAGTAATCCAACAATATAACCAAGTGAAATTTTTGTTGTTAGTTGTTGTAAAGCATTTTTTAAATATTTTCCCTTACGCAGTAAACATGTACGTAGCTAATAACTCAATAAAGTAATTTTCATAGGAAATCATCAAAATTTCAATATACCACAATTTCATTTTCTGCAAATGTCAACAAAATTTTTTCAATACCTACTTTATAAATTGTGTAAAGTTTCCAAATGTACTGAATACAAATGGGAAAGTTATGCAAAATCAAACTTTTAAACTATTTCGTGGGACACACTGTGTAGTACTCTAGTTAGATAATACTTTGTTTGTACTACTGTAGGTCATCTAAAATCAACTTGTTATTGTATTGGTAAGAGCTTAACATTGTTTTGTTGTTTTTGGATGGACTTTCCTCTAAAATAAGAGAAAGTTATTTTAGTAGTTATTATATTGGAAATGTAGAGCATGGGACATCATACTTCTGATGCATATTTCCTGTAATTTTATTTAAGTTGTGTATTTTTTAGAATTTATTTCAGAAAATTTACTAATTTGTATTACTGAACTGAGAGTATACATTCAAGACATGCACACATATGGAACGTATTTATGAAATTTTGTATTACATGTAATTTACATAGGAACATTAAGCAATGAATGGAAACTAAAAACTAATTACCTATAGTAAAAGCATTGACTTATTGAATAGTCAAAGGTAAAAGTGAACACTGTAAACATCCATGATTGTTGTTTCTCTATTTGGATAATATATTCAAGTAGTAAAAATAATAAAATGCTATACAAATAATTTATGAGCTACAGTAGTAACACAAAAAATGTAGGTACACTTTTTCAAACATGAACTTTGATTCCCATTATCTATTTGTGACCATTGATAATTAATGAGCCCTATATAGTCACAATTCGTTGATATTCATTGGACACAAAACTTTAAAAATCTAAATATTTACAGTAGACCTATAAATAAACGAACTCACCATTATCAATAATTGAAGAGTGAACGCTTCTCACAAAACAGGACAGGAAAAGCTTTGCTTCACTCACTTCACTTCAAACTAATCAGAACCAGAGTGCATTGGACTAAGTTTCGCGCGACACTGAGCAAGAAACAAACAGCTGATTGGAGATTGACCGATGACGTAGACGATAACGGGCTAAGGCCAATAGGGGATTCCGTCTGTACACATTAGTAGGACAAAACTCACGGGAAAACCAGTTCACTGTCACTGAAACATTTACTGAAACGAGGACAAATACCCTACTTGATCTGGCAGGTCTTCTGCTTTACTTATAAAGTCCAGTTTTCCTTACATTTGCATATTCAGATTACAACCAGTTATTAGTGGTACATCCTGTTTTCAGTTTTCAAATTGAACAAAAATTATCCTAATTGGCTCTCAAGATCAATAATCGGCTTAAGAGATTAGTGTTGTAGTTCAAGTATTTTAAGAAAGTTTGAAATTCCTCGATTTTAAAGTCCTTGTTTGTAGGTAACAATGTTAATATTCACTAGACAGCCATGCGTGGATTTAGCGGATTCTCATTTACAGATTCGTCAATTTATTATTCCCTTTAGATATAATGTTGAAAAACGACAACATGACAAAACAAAACGTTATAATTACTACAAATATTTTACCCTACAGCATCTAGCAAATTGATTTTTCTTGGAGAACCCCCTTTAACTTTTCATACATTTATGTACGTTTTTAAACATGACAGCCTTTTTGTTTACAACACCATAATTGAAGATACCTACCACTTACGTATTTTTGAAGGTTGAGGTACCGGTAATAAAAAATAAAATACACCAAGAGTCCTGCTAAACCCGGACGTTTGGATATAGGCCGAAGCCGTACTGTCCGGAAAAAGGGTACTCTACCTATAAATTAAAAGCCAAATCAAAGCTACAGCTATGGGTTCTGAATCACTACCAACCGGGAACGAATTTTGATGCCTGGAAAACGTTTGGATTTTAAGTGCATTTGGTATGGAACCGGAAAATCAATAACACTCTGTGCCTCTGACAGAGCGCTCATTCTTTCTTAACGGTGTTCAGTTTGGTTCTCTTTTGAAGTCGTCGTGTCGTAAGAAGAACGCTACCACGGGAGATGATGAAAGGGAAAGGGCGTTACCGTCATCGAGAGATAGGCCTAATCACGAATCACGTTTATTTCCGCGATCGCGGGGATGAAGGGTGTAACCGTGAGATTATCACGCATATTTCCGCGATCACGAGAGATGATGAAAGGGTGTTACTATAATCGAGATATAGGCCTAATCACGGATATTTCCGCGATCGCGGGAGATGATCAAACCGTGATAAAGAAATAATCACGGATATTTCCGCGATCGCGTCAGACAACCACTGTGTTGTTGTTATCCCGGAATCATAATAAAATGACCATCTGCCATCTACAATCATCAAAACGCATGGATTAAACCTTTATGCAGTTTTACATCATTTTCGCTTGAATAAGGCTATGCATGTTTTACTGTTTTGTGTATTCTTTGTTGCAATAATTCCAAAATAAACTTTTGGTTCACTTTCTATATGCTATATATGTAGTCATATTTAAACTTGAAAACAAGGAACTCATCACACAGGGTTGGGTAGGGATTTATCCCTACTTTTAAGATTGCACTGTGAGTTGTGGAGGTTTGCTGGAGGAATGAGGAATGGGGTGTGCTGGAACAGTCTATCTATTGTTGCTGTGCAACTAGCGTGCGCTGCAAACTTGTTATCCAGATGGCCTGCCGCAAATCTGTTACATTTTAGTGTGGGTGGTAGTGTTAGTGTTAGTGATAGTGTATTGTGAAGGGTATTTGGAGGTCAAAGAGCTGTCCGAACTCCTGAAAACATTGACCTTGTCAGAAGATCGATTTTGTAGTCCCCTCAACGTTCAGCTTGTAAGCAAAGCATGATTCCGTACTGGCTGTCTAATCGTACTGTACTGTGCCTCGTATTCTCCATGAGGACCTACACCTCCATCTATATAAGATGGTAGTTGCTTATGAACTCACACAACGGGACTGGCAACAACGAATGCAGGCATATGAAATCTAAAGTTTGGTTCTAACATTTTTGGTTGTCTTTTAATGTACCTTCAAAATTAAGGATACTTTCCTGCCCCACCCTGTAATCAATTTTTGAAACAAAAAATATAAACTAAAAAAATAAACAAACACACAAAAGCATAAGTAATGAAAAAGGTATAAACACTACTTTTACTTTAATATTCACATTGTAAGTTACTTAGAAGCACTTTCAGACACAATACAGCAATAAATTCTAGATATTGTGTTATCAATGATTAATATCTAGCCCTTAGTTAAAGGTTAACAACTACAAGTTTTAATATTTATTACGTCTATTAAAGACAAGATTTTCTGAAAGACTTCATGGATCAAGATATCAAATTAAAGAGTTGCATTGTATTACCAACACTTTGTCCTTCAATGTGATGAGTCATTGCCTGTTATATTGTTAGGAAAAATGGACCTTCAGCCAAACCATTAAAAGGAGTAACGTATAACAATTTATTACATAATTCTTTCAAACATCCAACTTTTACCCATTCTAACCTAAATATATCAGGTTGTATGTTAAAATAATATATAATGGTTGTTTTTTTATTAACTTCAAAAACTTGTGTCAGTGTGAATATGTTTGGGTGATTCCAGTGGACTTTTACCAAGGTTCAATTCCCGATGAGAAACGTAAATTCCCTTTTCCTACAGTCACCCGACAAAGTTGGCTTCCTTGTACTGTTTATAGTACAGAAAGCTGCTAATTGCTGCATATTTATACTTTGCCGTACGGTTTATACTTTGCCGTACGGTTTATACTTTGCCGCACATCAGGATTCCAACGAAACAACACAAAACAGCGTGGTTCTATTATGCACGTAATCCGTGTACGCTTGGAAATAGGTTGGCAACACTTAAAGATAATAATACTATGAGCAGCTGATTGACTATTATAACTACGATTTAACCTGTCATTTCGTGTTTATAGTTTCGGTATTTCTGAACTTTCTGGACTTTTCTTTTAAACGTTTTTAAAACATTCCTACAATCTTAATAAACAAGAAAATACCTTTGAAGCATTTTTTAGGCGCGGAAACCACTTCAAATTACAAAAACATACGGAACTATATTCTCAAAACGCGGAGCACATTTCTTGCCGAGGAAAAATAGCGGAGTGATACGGACCGTGGGTTGGGTACTACTTTCTCTAGGGCGCCATTTGTCTTGCCAGCTGAACCTAAAAACGTGTTGTATAGTGTTTGAAAGACTAATTATTTATATGCTTTATAGTGACTGTAGGAAAAATATAATGTGTAACACGAGTGAAAAAGGCCTTTGCTGCACTCGAGATCATTCCGCATTGCTCTCGTGTGCAGCAAAGTGCCACTTTCACCACTAGTTACACAAATAACTATTGAAAATCCCAACAATAATCAACCTACCAATGAAGGTTGCTCTTGAATATTAAGTAGAGACTAGAGTTAGTTGGGAAGGTAAGAATCTGTGGATCTTAAAATCAAAATAGGTAGCCATGGTAAACCCCATTCATTGTTGTCAAGTTAAACCAATATTGTGAAATATTTTGTGTTTAAATAATTATTCTATCCTAAAAAAAACTAATGATACCATACTTAATAAAATATATAATTAACTGTATAGGCTGTTTTATCCTGTATTCCAGTGTGAGATTATGCTTTTAATGCCGATTGATATTAATTATCCACAGTAAATACTGGTTGTGTCAATTTCATTTTTCAAGCATAGAAGATGTGTGTATTTCAATGAGTTTTTGACCTCTGATGACATCAAAATGAAAAAGAAAATTGGTCCTGGGTCTAGGTCTTGCTGTGCTACCTGCGGTAATAGCTTCTTTAGGCAAGAAGCTTCACCGAAAACACCTTATAGATAAAGAGAAATTCAACAAAGAGTGTTAAACACTATAACCATTGTCTATAATATGATACTCCATTCAGAAAATTTAGGCGGTTTGTGAGGAAGTAACCCCACCACTTATTTTTTATTATAGTATACGTTGCAGCTGATTCTGATTGATTTGGCAAACCTCAGCTGTTGAGCTAAAGGTAGGATCAAGTGGAAGGGATAGATTTTTGCCCTAAAACCACCTCAATTTCGTGAACGGAGTATAATTCTAGATAGAAAGGAAAACCCCGTACAGGAGTAAGTAAAATGTCACATAACAGTGTAAAACCCAAACCATTGTCTACCATTACAATTCTCGAAAGAGTGAAAGGAAATGCTTAACAAAATAGGAGTGAGTTTCGGTTGACTGACCATGAAGGCTTGCAGGTTCATTACCATAGATCGTGCAATGATTGCATACATTAGTAATGACCTTCATTGTACTCAGCCTTTCAATAATTGCTCAGGCTTTGATATTGAACCTGTCTATGCAAAATTTATAGTTTTGTGCTTAATACAGGCTACTTTAGTTGATTACATGAAGTTGAATACATAGTAAATAGAGAATGTATTGTTTTCATCAAAACTTTTGAGTTTGAGTTTTTGGTGAAAAGAACCATTTTTGTCCCCCCCCCCCCCAGCCAAAAGAGTGGTTTTTGGAGTGATGTCTGTGTGTGTGTGTGTGTGGATGTATAAAAATATCCCACAAACAGTCCCTTGTTTTATAGAGGTTTATCGTTTTATGAATTAAAAATAACAGCAAAAATTAGAGATTTCTTTTTAAATCATGTGGAATTTACGGCCAATTAACATTTTTATTTTTTTCATACCTAAAATTTGTTGAACAGGTGTTATAGCTGTCATTTAGTAGTGGCTTAGGATTAATATAAATCATTAGCCAAAACACTACTCTTGCAATGTCAACTCTCATGGTGGAAGGAAAAAACATAGGTGTGCTATTCCCACATATTCTGACGTCACTCGGATTGCAAACAAAAGATCATCTGATTGTAACTGTCAAATTAGTATTTATTTGTTTTTATTTGATTGTTATTGTTTTTATAATAATAAAAACAATAACAACCAAATCAAAACAAATACATATACTAATTTGACAGTTACAATCAGGTGATACTTTATTTGCAATCCGAGTGACGTCAGAATTTGTGGGAATAGCACACCTATGTTTTTTCCTTCCACCATGGTCAACTCTACGATGATGACAGTACAGTATTATTTTTTTATACTGCTAGTTACTCCTAAGCTCTCCAAATAATCAGGTGGAATATAAAAAAACTTTCAAAAACAATAAACAATATCCAAAATACTCTTTATTTACATTACTCTATGCTCTCTTCACCACCTCAACAGTCTGTTCTGCCGAAGACTCTTCAGATCTGGATGAAGATTTGGATGAAGAATAGATCCTCTCATAGGTTGTGGCACTGTCGAAGAATTCATTTTCAATGTCATCCAGATATTCTTCAGAAAGGCATTTTGAGCTTGCAACCTATATAATACACACAACAGTTACTTATAATCTTATAACCACTAGATATTATTTTCATATAAGTTAATTAATAGGTAAGTTAACAACAACTAATTCATCTTAGAAACTTATAATTACAATATTAGTAACACAGCTCATTATTTGAAATTCAATTCTTGGAATTATTTTTTAAATTTTTTATTCAAAAGCTTATGCTTTTGCTCGACTTAAGTCAACATTAAACTTTTATCCATTCAACCTGAATAATGTTTAATAGAAACTAAGAGTTTATTTTAGTTGAGATTATGAAAATAATTAATCTGATTTCTAAACAAAAATGTGATGAAAACAAGGTTACGTTTCAAGATCACATTCCATTTGAACAGGAAAAATGTCAAAATTATGTTTATAAACATAACATTTTTGTTTGATACAAATGATTAAGAAAACTGGACATCAATATACTCTGAGTGCTTCTAGTTATAAAATAGTATGATTTGATATAAAATTATGTGATATACAAGTAGAGAAATTAGAAGGATACCATACATCTTTGGGGGAGCAGCTAGTCTAATGATACAAGTAGTCTTTCTGTCCTAAAAGGACATAAAAAAGTTCTAACAACAATCAATGGCTTTTGTATTTGTGAAAACGCCACACCATAGCGATTTTGATCACTCAAGCTCAAAAGGTACATTTTACATTTATAAAACAGATGAGGATTAAACTTTTCTCCGTATCAGAGAACTACATTCACTAAAAGCCAAACTAAACTAAATTGTTAAAGAAGAACTGTAAGATTCTAACCTTCTTGAATGTGAACTCAGTCCAGCAACCACAGCCTCCGGTTGTCTGCTTGATGAGACGGACTCTCTTGATGGCGTTGTCTTCACTCTCTCCTGTTAGAGGCTTCAACACCTTTGTCAGCCAGGTAGAACAGCCTTCAGACTCTCCTGGAGATTTTTTTTTATAGATTTAGGGTCATAGTTTGTCAGGGAAAGCTTCTCAGGTTGGAGAAAATGTTTAAGTATGGCTCTGAATCAGAGAAAATCCATGTTTATCTTATTGACTGTATCAAAGTTGTGCTAAAAGACTGTTTGGTAACCTTATGTTTATGCCAGACACAGAATACCACAAATTATTGCCTTCTCTTCTAATAAAGTCAAAGAAACAAAATCAGCTGGGAAAGTAAAATTACAAGTTAATTGGCAGTCACTCCAATTTAATTGATTAAACTGTAAAATCCTTTCTACGGCTTAAACATTTAGGAAGGTGTAGGCTTTTGTAAGTAATATAATAGATTAAGCAACACAAAGACTTCTCATCCCATTGTAAATTTTGAAGCTAATTTTTTGTGTCTAATTCATGTCCTTACCGCACTTCACTGCTCATTATAGTGACAAATAAAATTTTGTTTTTATTATTTTAGGGTTAATTTCATGATCTATGCTTGGTTTTTTTTTTGTGATATAACTAGAGGACAAGTTAGTGTTTATGATTAGATTGTTTTATTTGGTTAAACGAGGTTTTAAATTACTGATAACAAGGAACATATTGTAAACAAAACACGACCACTGCTGTGCACCGGACGGAACTAACAGTAACATTTTCTTCAGCTGATCAATAAGGACGAGAAATCTACTAAGGGAGTTTATTTTAACTATGGTAATACCTAAGGCATAAATTTATGAATGGTTTATCACTACTATATTATTGACCTATATAATCTTACTTGTAATTTTTAATATTTAAATTTGTTTGGAAAAATCCGGATTTTAGAACAAAAATTTACGCTTACCCTTCTTGTACCAAGCCTCGAAAAAGTTCTTAGTGAAGCCGTAGTACTTCTCGTCATACCACACAGGACAAGATGCAGTGGCCAGTTGGATCAGATGGATCCTCTTAGCCCATAGCTCATCGGAAGTGTCGACCAGAGCGTCCTTGGCCAACACTCGTTGAATGTATTGCTCGTAGCTCTCACACTCCTTCTTCTTGTACTGTACTTCGTACACCTGCTTGGTAAACTTGTCATAGAACTGCTCGTCTGTCCAAAGAGGCAGTGAGGGGTAGATGGTTCTCACCAAGGCCACCCTGTTAGCAGTCTGTTCCCAAGACTCCCAAGTCTCCTTGGTTACAAGACGGCCAAAGTATTGCTCATCAGTCTCGTTGGGCAGTTTGCTGTATAGACAAGAGTAGTACTCCTTCACCAAGTCTAAGTTCTTGGAGTCGTACCAGAGAGAAGCAGAGGGGAACAGTTTCCTCACAGTTGTCAATGTCTTCACGTACTGGTCGACAGATTCTCCAGGAGATTTTTTGGTGAGCCTCTTGAACCAGGAGATTTCATCCTCGTCCTTCTTCTTTCCATAGACCTCTTCGATTTGTTCCTCTATAGTCTTTTCTGGCTTCTAAAATTAAGAATGAGAGTTGGTTTGGTGTTGTTTACAACATTTTTAGATCAAAATCGGACATAAATAAAAATGTTTTTGATAAATTTAAATTCTTAATTCTGGTCTGAATTTTTTTCTTGTACGGAATAATCTACTATACACTTACCTTGCTTTCCTTTTTGTCAGAGGTCTTCTCCTTTGTCTTTTCTTTTTTTTCTGTCTCCTTCCTCTTCACCAAGACAACTTGCACCTCCTTGTCGGCTTCCTTAGCGCAGGACTTGCCGGAGCCAAACAGACGTTTGAGAACTCCACCCACAAAGCTCCTACAGTCGGTATAGATGTTCTCCAAGTACTTCAGTCTGGTTTCGTAAGTGACATCAGTCTCAATGGGTGTTCTCTTAGTAACCCGCTGCAGCCAAGATTCCTTATCCTCGTTCGGCAATCTCTTGTAAAACAGACGGTAAAAGTCTGAAACGGGTTTCAACAAGGTGTCAGGAATATCAATATTTTTCAGGGAATCTTGCACTGACAGAATGAGGGAGCATCTCTTCACATACTCGTCATCAGATTCTTCAAAGTCCCTCTTGAAAATGTGTCCCAACCAGATGTTCACCTCTTGTTTGCCCTTCTTGAAATAGTTGAGGTAATAGTTCTTGATGTAGGGCAAGTTCACTTGGCTGTAGAACAAGTCGGTTCCACGGTTAACCCATCGGCAGATGTTCATCCTATTCAGGTAGTTGTCCAAAGATTCTCCAGGGCCACGAGTGGTAATCCTCTTCAAGTAAGACTCGTTGGACTCGCTCGGTTTCTTTGCTAAGATGAAGTTGTAGAACGGAGCGGTGAATTGGAGGAATTCACAGTTATTCCAGAGAGGAAGGTTGTTGAATACCCTCTGGAGAATTTCTATCCTCTTGACAAAGGAAGGGAAGTCCTCAGATGTGGACTTGGTTGTAAGCCTCTTGTAATAATCGTTGATGCTTTCTTTATCCTTCTGAGCGTAAGAGAGTCTGTAGTAGTCCTTGATCAAGTCAATGTATTCACAGCTGGTCCACAGAGGAAGGTTGCCAAACCTTGATCTTATCCTTGTCAGACGCTCAACATAGTCGCGGTCAGATTCTCCCTGAAGTCTTGCACAAATCCTCTTAAAGTAAGAGACATCATCCTCCTTCTCACATGCCCTTCTTTCGTATTTGGTCACAACGCTCTCTCGAATCTGAGAAATAACAAAATCTTAGGTTGCATTTCTACTCGTATGTTCAGCAATAACAGACATAATATGTAACTGCAGAATAAAAGTTTGAGAAGTTTACTAACTTAGAGGAAAATAGATTGTTGTTTTAGATTGTTATTTAGGATTATTAAAGAGCCTAATGGTGAACTACGGATATGTTACATTAAATATCCACACAATAACTTTGCCATACAATGGTCAAGACCGGAACTTGTAAACCCCGCATACCTGATGACCAGAGCGCGCTGATGACCAGAGCGTGCTGATGACCAGAGGGCGCTGATGGCCAGTGCTTGGGCAGTAATAAAATCGTAAGCCATAAAGTTGCTTAAACCAGTTCTACATACGTTTTCAATATTTTATGGTATATTGTAAATAATTGAGTATGTGAGGTATTTAAGAAAAATGCTTAATTCTTAGTGTTGTGTCTCTATTTTAACTTTTGGTATCTTTTCCCGACTAGCTGGAATTCCTCAAACTTGTCACTCTTCTGGGACATTACACCAAGTTTGTGGTACTGTACTATACAGAACATTTTTCAAGACTGATTCAATCGAAGAAAGAGAGGGTAAGAACTGTTATGTATTCAATTACCAAGAAAATTGTTCAATGTTTCAATTCTACTGAAGATAGTTTTTAAAGATTTTATACATACAGTTAATAAATTAGGTACGTTTTTGTTACATAAACAGCAACAGCTCACTATTAGTCTATTTGGAGCATTTCACACAAGACGTAACATATGTAATTTTCTTATTATTATCGATCTCATCATGTTTCGTATTTTAAAACAATACACACTATTAAAAATAATCAGTTCACCTTTTTGGAAACAACTTACATTCTCAGAAGGCCTGATGGCACAATTGTAGGCTTCATGACGGAAGAAGTACCAGTTTCTGCAGTCGCTGTCAAACTTGATCCTCCTCCAGATGTCCAGCTTGGGATAGGCCTTGAAGACACAATCCAGCCTCTTGATGAAGCTTCCAAACTCTTCATTCTTTCCGCGTCTCAAAATCCTTGCAAAATATTGGTCGTTACTTTCTTTGACCAATGGAATGATGCTCTCCAGCTTGCCGTACCTGAGCGTGTAATATTTGCTGGAGAGTTTCCAGAACTCAGTGTTGTCCTTGCACGGGAGTTTAGGGAAGAGTTCGTAGATTTTATCGATGCGCTCAACGTACTTCTCGTCGCTCTCGTCTTTGTACTGTTTGTATATTCTTGTATAGTAGCTGTCGGCAGACTCCTTCTCTTCTTGGGCAAACACCCTGAGAATGTACTGGTCATAGGATTCTCTTGACTTGAGTGGCGGCTGAAAGTCAAATGATCTATAGTTTGGATTGACAAAATTATTAAACATTTTTATTTATTTTCTAGGTATATAGGCTAGATTGGTAGGAAAATGTTTCTTTGTTATGCCTATTTAAAATGAAAAATAAAGAAATTAACTAGGAAAGTTTTAGTTTAGAAAATTTAAAAATCATAAAGTGTTTTTTAGATGAAGATGAGCTATAAAAGTGAATATTTTAAATAAAAGATTGTTTCACTTAATTATCAAACCATTTATAATGATAAGTTTGATGGTAAGAGCAAGTTTTATTTACATTATACCTAATGATAAACAGTCTAATTAATTTTGTTTTGAACAATAATCTTGAACACTTTTGGTTATTCTGCTCAAGTGTGTTTTTGTAAAATTATACTAATTTATTTAGAGGATTTTATTTTTAAAGAGTTATTTTAAAAGGAAAAGTTAATATGGATAAGAAAAACCACATTTTAATTATGTATAAGTTTTGCTCTTTTTAAATAGTAAAATGGATATGATAAATTAACATAATTTTAGTTCCCTCCCACATTCTCTAAACCTGTTAAAAGAATAAAAACTCAATTTTTACAAAGGAAAAAATCAGATTTTACTATGCTGGATGTTTCTTTAATAAATCGATTCTGAGGTTGGTCTTACACAAGGCCAAAATGATCTTTTCTGATAAAATGTAGTGCTTCCAACGACAAAGCAGACTTATCCAAAGACAAAATGAATACCGCCTGGAGCATAACTTTACGCAAAAAATTTAAGAATAACCAAATAAAAAAATAGTTTAAAAACTTTGAAATTTTAGTTAAATATTTTTCACCAGAAAATAAATGTATTTCCAAAATTTGCATGATATAAATCTATTCCAATACTGTAAAATACAAACCAATTAAATGTGTCTTTAAAGCCACCAATGTCCCGTGGATAAAGTAGTATATATGTTGAAACACTCAAAAAATGCTAAATACAACCCTATGTATTGTACTGTTTGACATTGCCTATTATTGTTATAAGTTTAATGGCATTAATAAATTCTTATTGAGTCTTATTAACGATCTAAAATGTCAACATACCAGAGGACAGGAATCATCCTTGCTGATGACATTTTTCACAACTTTCACAGCTCCATTGACAACTCTGTTGGCAACAAATGTGCAAGGGCAGACAACTGGGATGTTGACAGCCTGTGAACAAAACAAATCATACAGATTTTTATTCATAAAAGTACATGTCTTGTCAATTTAACCAATGTTCTCGACAAAAGGCTAGTAAATTTAGGTTGCTCTCCTTTTCTCATCAATTTGTGTGTTTTTGAAAGGTTTTATGCAGGTTTGGTATCATCAACAGCTCTTTTTGGTATCAAGCTCTTTTTAGATTACAAAACCTAAAAAACACAAAAGCTGTACAATAAAACACATTAGTAGTATGATTTGAAAATCCTTGCTACATGTGAATAGGGAATCTGTATTTTGAAATGTAGATTGGAATACTGGTTGGGACCTCCATCATTGATGTAATCAATAACTTCTAAAATCGTTAATTTTAGTTGAATATAAAAATACCAGAAATGACACATTTTTGTACAGACATTTCTTCAGTTAAAATCTGAAACCATGAAATATGTACTATGGTTTCTGGATTTTGAAAAAGCCAATTTAAGTTCAATGAACCTATTTAGTATGCAGTGTTCAAAACATTGTTTGACATTGGTAAAATCAAAACCAACCTTAAATTTGTTTAAAAAATGAAAGCTGTGCTCACAATGTAAACTTTAAAGGATTTTCAAAACTTGAGATTGATCAAAACAATCATGTGCCCTCTTAACCGCATTGTTAGAATGGGTAGTATAAAATGGTTCATGTACGCCAAATATTATATTTGATTCCAATAGAACTCCTCCTACAATATTTGAATTCATATAACATTCTCTGAACAGCTATGACAACTATTTTCAGCTTACTAACTTCAAAACTAGTTTATTTTCAGAACAAATATTTACAAACAAAACCAGTACTGGTAACCTGTTATTTGATTACACAGGAAAATGTAGTGATTCGTCTTTATAATAAAACACAAAAATATAAATCAAAGATCATATTTAATAATAGCCTATAGAAAAATAATACAAACATAAATTAAGTGAAATAAATTAAAACAAATTAACATTACCTGAATCACAACTGGCGCTGCTAGGCAGCAAAGGATAACAACTCGTAGAATCATATCGGTGGTTTATGCCCGGCGATTCACAGAGCAAAACGACCAAGCTAAAGGAACATTTGGTTTTAAACATCTATCAGCTGAGACCACCTGTTCATTTGTAAGCAATATATTTAATGTCTTCATTTAAGGAGCAAGTGGTTCATCAGAATCTGTATTGGTTCACAGTTTGTCGTCACATTTAGGTCATATCAGATCATTTATTTGACAACAGACAATCAATTTAGTTTCCTGATACGTACTTTGTTGTTGTTTTTATTGCTCATCTTCATTCTTGGATCCGGATTTGAAAAGGTTGTTATATGAAACATGTTAGGGAAAGCAAAATGTAATTAGTTCTTGTAATAAAATGTACAATTAGTTAAATTTTGACTAAATCAAACAAACATTAGAAAAATACTTTTTTTAATATTTTTAAATGAAATGGCGACCATATGAAGTTATGTATTTTAAGCCAAGTATGAATGGAGAGAATGAGTGGCGTGATCTTGTAGTCTTGTTACTGACTAAGTTTGACATGTTCCTAAAGGGCAGGACTGTTAATTAATATCCCATACAGCTAATTGCAACTAAGGGACATACAGTATGTAGTGGAATCCAAATCACGTTTGGCTTATAATTTACGAATTGGTCTAATTATCAGGATAGTACTGCAGATAGTTGTAGTACTCACTAGTGCGGACTATAATCCACAAAAGGGAGTATCACATTTACAGATCATGCCTATAAATATCAACAATTTGTGAACTCCAAGTTCACAACAATTACAGGATGACACCGCGGTCCCAGTCAAAACACTAGAGTTTACATCCTCATAAAATCGATTTTTTTTATAAAAGTTCAGTATACTCCTCTCCTTCCACAGCTAAAAAAGAAATTTCACAAAAAAGCCTTGAGTTACTTTGTACTAGAGATACGTTACGTAATGTACGTGTGTGTTACTCAAAATATGAAATTTCCATCACTTTTGTTATTTTAATTATTAAATTAAACAGAAAGATAGATGTGTGCTTGGTTTGAAAATAAAACTTTAAGTTGATAGTTTCAAACCTCCCAAAATTCCAACTCATACCTTCAAAACCCCAAATATTACCAACTTTTACAATTTTCAAAGATGATTGAGAAGGGTAGCTCCCCCAGGAGCTTGGGTGACGTCCCTGTGTCTAATAACACTTGTAATATTTACACTTATACTGTTGGGTTACAAGACGGTAGATACATATAAAAGATGGCAAGTGTTGATAGATTTTGATGGGACACTCAAATCTTCATCAAACCCAATAGGCAAACGAGACTAATGTCATGTCAATGTCAGACCAATGCCATTTGCCTATTGGGTATGTTGATGATTTGAGTGCCCAATCGAAATCAATCACCACACTTGCCATCATTATGTATTTACCGCCTTTGCCTTATAAGTCAACAGTATAAGTGTTAAGTGTAAATATAGTATTACAAGTGTTATTAGATGTATGTCAGCCACTTCAACGAGGAAACAGAGCATTGTGATCATTTTAGTTCTAGGTTAAAATAGCTATTCCCAAGTTTCAAAAATTCTACTGCAATAAATAAGGTAGGAGAAAAAAAAAATAAAATCTATGTATAAAACTTATTCAAATGATTTAATACAAACAATACAAAAATTCAAGGCAGTTTTTACTTGAGAACAGTTTGTGCAAGACATAAACAACGAACTAACATTCAGTTTTCAGTTTACAATAAATTACTGAAAAGCACACCAATAACATCAGCACCTAGGAGTATAGTTGGTAAGGATAACTCTTAAGTTTATTCGACAAAGGAATATTACAGGTAAAACTAAGATTAATATACAAGTGGTTCCCTGAACATAATAAGTTGAGCGGTATTTGAACTGCGGATGAAACTTATTGATACAGAATATCAACTATTGTATATGGATTTCATTTTAGATTTTTTAAATTGTTTTACAACTACTGCAAGAACACATAGATTGTTTGAGTATATAAATCTACAAACACAGTCCCTCAATACATAATATTAGTTCAACTCCATATATTTCCTTATGAGTGTGTCAATCAAATTTAATTTAAAAGGCAACATACATTTTTGAATAGTCCTGTCAACTACAAAATAAGGAATAACATGTATTTTTAATTAACTCTTTAAATACAAATATCATACCATAACACTATCACACATAGTTTCAAATTCAACAATTTTAAACTTAATGAAAGACTTTAGTTATACACGTTACATTTAAAAAATTTAAGCCAGTTGTGGAACCTGCAATAGAGTTAAATCCATTTAAAACACTAAAAGCTACTAATACTGAAACAATGCTGTAAAACTCTAGTTCTATTTAAACAATGTTCAACGTTGAGGACCAGTGTGCATTTCATTATACAAATATTACCGATAATGCAGTATAATATCCTTAGAATAAACTTCATAACCAACACCATTAAAGCCAACCCAGAGTCATTTTACCAATTTTTAAATTCTTGATATCAAAGCTAATTTATAGTAGTCATCTACTTTACGTACATTTAATGCAATAAATAAATACACAGAATTATATTTTCATCTTATATATACAAATATTGAATAACATCAGTCCTATATCGTGCCACTTTTTATAGAGAGATTCTTAAAACTTTTTATAGATTAACTAAAATTCAACAACACATTTTTGTATGACTTTTAATATCAACAATATTGCTTTTAATATCCATTATGATATGCTAACGCAAACAAAATGTGAACAGAAATTTTTCAAGAAGTTCTTAACTTAGGTATTTAAGAAATATAACTAAGAAAGTTGTAGCCATTAAAATATTACTTGCCACTTGTTCTTGACACCAACGCATCTATAAAAGCTACAAAACATGTTATCAAAATCCTTATTACTAAGATAGTTCTTGCCTATTTGTCATCTATTTTTTATTATAAGGTGATTTACAGCTTAAGGAGGGTTTCAAACCACAGGGCTGCAATATTACCACATAGCAAACTGCCATTCAAAAATCGAAACCAATTATTACATTTATTGATAAATGTAGCCTCTGGATTACCAAAATACAGCTTATTACCTATATAAAAGGTCAACAATTTCTAGTTTTAGTTAATTTTTTTAAAATGAGTAACCTATTCAACCTCCAGATCTATAGACAAACAAACTTTGCATAAGTGTTGAAATTGCCACACACATTATTAAAGAATTCGACTCTACTGTAAAGTATCAATAAATATTGACCCTCAAAATCTTGAATTTAAGTCTAACTAAATAATTTCTTACGAGCGTTGTAGGCGTTATGGTAAGCTGTATAAATAGTAACTTTTACTGTACAAACCACTTTGTTTTTCGGCAATGCAAAAAAGTTTTGCAATAAGTGTAGATACAGTAGAACCCCTCATATCCGGCCACCACGGGACCAAGCCCCTGGCCGGATAACGATTTGGCCGGATAAACCAACCTACTATGAAAATGACAATTCATACCTAATAATAATAGGTAATCAATATATGCAATCAAAGTATCATTTAATTCTGTTCTGGGATCATTTTTAGAAAAATAAACATGTTTGTAAAAAGAAAAAAAAATTGTAGGTTAAAGTCATTAAGTAATGAATGTACAAATATTATGATTTCAGGTAACAAAACCTATTAAATGGAGGTAAAAATGACAATAAATTGTACTTAAAGATCATTAGGACTTAAATGGTACATGCATTTCTACTCAACATTCTTATCCATTTTGTGAAATACAAAAATTAATATACTGTACTGTACTAACCCCACTTTGGAAATAATCAACCAACTGATCAGAGGTTAGGCCTACTAGCTCAACTGAGTATAGTGACTCAGCAAATAAATGTATATACAAACAGATAAGTAAAGAGAACAATTTAAAAATTTATTTTATGACTTGAACAGTCACAAAGACTAGTGCTTGCACCTAAACGTCTGTAAGCTGTGAGAAAAACATTTTGATATTGGCTTCCTGGAAGGGGCCGGATAAACAGAGGACCGGTAAAACCAAGGCCGGATATGAGGGGTTCTACTGTATAGACATTTTCTTCACAATTCACATTAATAGACACCAGACATAAATAACAGCATATTTATAAGTCTTGTTGTGTGCGTTTTTTTAAAGAATTATAAAAAAATGACAAAGGTATCTTAAACTGTTGTATTCCCAAAAATCTAAAAGTTAGAGGGCCTACAAAGATTAGACATTTTCAAATAATTTTTAAGTCAGGAATAAACAGGGATGGGCAAGACAGGAGTTTCTATCTCCTCAAAAAATTACTGAAAGTTAAGATTTGTTACCTTATTTATGTTAGATTCTTAAAAAATTTTAATGAATCCCAATGAACAAAATATCAAATAGCATTTTAAAATAATTTACATAATATTACTGAGAGTTATTTGAAAATAAGTACTAACATTATGATTATAGTAACTAAGAAAAAATAAGTAGGCACAAGCCAGAGGTATAAATTTATTTTTTAATAAGATTCCTTATATCCTTCAAAAGATTGTAAATACAGTAGACACTCTATTAAGCAAAACCCATTTATAACCAAAATGGAAATACCAATTAACCAAATCAGCCAGAAAAATCATTTTACAGCTACAGTAGCTTGCAGCATTGGCGCTAAACATTCTAGCTGTCGCGTCCTACATAAGGAAAGAGAGAGTTGAGTATGGTGGGAGCAGGCCAGAGAGAAGGGAGGCAGGGATGAGCGGTGCGATCTTGTAGTCTTGTTACTGACTAAGGCTGACATATTCCTTAGACACAGCTGTTAATTAATAGCCCATATGGTAACTAAGAGACCTACATTTTATAGTGGAATTTGAACCAAATTTTTGCCTTGTAATTTACAAATTGGTCTAGTTATCAGGATAGTACTGCGGATAGTCGTAGTACTCTATAGTGCGGACATTAATCCACACCAGTGAATATCGCATCCACAGATCATGCCAATAAATATCCACAATTTGTGACCTCCAAGTAGCTTGGGCATATGTGACTAATTTGCTACTCCACTCTTTCCCCTCTACTAAACCAGTGTGACTCGGATGGTCGTTTAGTTTTGCTTATTCAAAT